GATGTCTATAACTCTAGATATGGCTGTTTTAGTGAACAGACATCAAGTTGTGAGCATTGATTATATCTGTTGCGATTTTTGACATTTTTAGCTAAGTAGATTTTTTTTTAGAATTTCATGTCTTCATAAGAGTTGTAGATTATCCTCTTATGTTTTTTTTAGATATTTTTGAGCTTATTTAGATGAGTATTACTCTGTGTGTGTTGTTTTCTTTGACAATTGTCAAAGAGAGATGTATGTTATTTTGATGTTCTAAGGTGTTATGGCTTAATTGATGATTTAATTATGATGCTACTATGTTGGCATGAATTGAATGTGATGTGATTGTGGATATCCTCACACTTATGTCAGTGTGGCATGACCTTGGGCATGAGAAGCTACAGGGGTGGCGTGAGCATGACATAGTATGGGACATGTGAGGCAATTAACACATATTGGCGTGACACGACCTTAGACAAGAGATGCTACAAGAGTGACGTGAGCATGACATAGTGCTAATTGTAAGATTTGTGTGTGGAAATTGGTATGAATTGAATGTGATGTGATTATGGATATCCTCACAGTTATGTCAGCGTGGCACAACTCTGAGAAGCTATAGGGGTGGTGTGAGCATGACATAGTGTGAGACGTGTAAGGAAATTAACACGTATGTTGGCGTGGCCCGACCTTGGGCAAGAGATGCTACAGAGGTGGCATGAGCACGACATAGTGTTAATTACAAGATTTGTGTGTAGAAATTAATACTTATGTTGGTGTGTGATTGATAATTGTGATGTAAAGATGATGTATGATTGATAGAATTATGATATATAGAAATGGTTGTAAATATATTATGTAATGAATTATGATGAGATTATGCCATGACGTTTCCTTGTGTGCTTTACATATAAATATTTTTTTTCTCACCATGCAATTTGTGGAAGTTTTAGGTGAGGAAGATCTAGCTATGAATGGCATCTAGAATGCCAATAGTTGAGTTGTGGGTGTGCTCTGATATTGTGATATTGGGGCAGAGAATTTCTAGGACATGGATTTTTATATGTATTTGTAGTTGTACTTATTATTTTGAAAACAATTTGTAAACTCTTAGGTTTTATTTTCCAAGTTTTATTTTCAATTATTTTGTATATTGAAGAACAGTTATGAAAGTTTTATGTGAACCCTTTTACCAACGTTGAAAAAATTATTTCTTTAACTATTTACATTATCATAGTACATGTGTTGGGGGTAGCAAGGGTGTCACAGAAACAACACAAAACAAGGAAAGTAAGAAATATCTCACTTTAACTCACGACATAGAATGCAATTGGATAGATGAACACAAACAATAATACAAAGAAATAATCATAGAAATAATTGAAAACATGATGCAATTATCTAGAACATAACAAAACACAATTTGATTGGTATCACAAAATGATTTCACATAACTAAAACAAGTCAATACAATAAATTCATTCACATGCGCTATGCAATGGACATAGACTACAAGTAATCATGCATGAGGATTTTCAATCAAAATAATCACATGTTGCATTACCTCAAGCAACACACAAAGTAACCTAGGAGTACATGTAGGGTCACACCCTCAACGCACTCTCACTAAGAGGATATACTACTAGGGTTTAGTTAGGACAATGGAGTTGTGAAAGCTCTACCTAAAGTACACAATGGGTGGAACCAGGGTTTCACAAACCCAGTTGTCCTCAAGGATTGATACCCAAGCTTTTACATAAGGGGATCTTCTTTGGCCATGTATTTCATATCGTGCCCTTCGAAAACAGTTATGCAAATGATGCATGTCTAATAAGACTTTATGCAAGGATATATGACATTAGCATATCCTATCATTTATCAATTGTTCTCAACCATGCATTAACAACTCAACTATATCAATTGGTATAACAAGGAACATAATGGCAACATATCTTTATGGTTCAAGAATCACAAGGAGGAAATATAATCTATAGCATAACGCTTGGCAGAACTCAAGGTGTGCCCAATGCAAGTCTTCCTAAGAGCCTTGTTGCTCTCAAGTTGAAATGTGCACTCGATGTGACCATGGTCACACCCAATGGAAGCACCACAAGGAAGCTCCTAGAGCTTCCACACCCAACAAGGGTTGTCATCCACGACCAGTGTGAACGACCCTAAGAGCAATATTTTCTCTTTACCTTGACTACCTCTAACGTGCCCAAGGTGGCACTCGACGTTGTATTAGCAATTTTGTAGAAAACACAAATTACATACATCATGCAACAATCATCCAAATTACAATTCAATTAGTAAAAGTGCACTAAAAGGCATGTTAAACATTCTGAAAGGCAAACAATGCACACATTAATTACATATTCTTCCTAAGTACTCACACAATAGCCATCACATCCCCTAGGGTTCTTAAGGAACCCATGGACAATCCATAATACACAATTATAGACTAAATCATGAAATTAGAGTCATAAACAACTACATAACATCAATTAGAGCACCAAAGAGCAACAAAGAAGACAAAAACACATTTTTGGGAAAACTCTTCACATATAAATATACAATAGAAATATGATTAGGAGTCAATCCCACTACCTAACATACATTTTACGTTCAGAATGAGTCTACCCACTCCCTTCTTTTACCTTGATGAGCGCTAGAAGATGAACGTGGTTCTCTAGGGTGTTCTCCTACAAGCTCTAATTCTCGCAAGTTTGAAATGCACAAGCATAAAGAAAAATGGAAAGAGTATAAAATGAAAACTGATAAAAAAACTCCCTTTTTAAAACTTAACCCAACAGTTAAAACATTTAACCCAAGTTACCAATTCCTTCCCTAAAAAATAAATAAATAAATTATTTAATAATAAAACTTTATAATATATTCATATAAGTATAAAATAATTAAAGTAATTATCAAAACTAACTAAAATATTTATAACAAAATACAATAATTAATAATTAACAAAAATATAATTTTAATAGAAAAATTGAGGTGTTATACTTTACTTACCTCTCAGCCAACTAAATTTGTCTAAGATGAAACCTTACAAAATTGGTAAAAAAAAATGATAACTTTCAACTTTCTCTTATAAAAAAATAAAAATAAATAAAAAAGGTTGTTGGACTTTCAACTAACTTTTCGGTTAATTTTCAAAATATTTTTAACCTAATGTGAAAAATGATTGAAAGTTTTCTTCCTTTCTTTTTATAAAAAAAAATACAATCTAAATATTTATTTTTATTATTAGAAGTGAAACAATTCAAGACTTGAAGTCTTAAACATGAAATTATGATTTGACTTGTTTCTTAAACATGAAATTATGATTTGACTTGTTTAAGGTTTGGTTTGTCTTGATTTATATAATAAAAATGTCAAGTTTAGATTTAAAAAAAAATCTATTTATTTAAAAAATTAGATTTAAACTTATAAAAAAGTCTATTAGACTTGATAGGTTGGCTTATTTATCTATTTGATATTATAAAAATAATATACATATTACATTATTAATAATATAATTAAATAAACAAATTTGTAATACAAAAAATATCAAATTCTTAATATGTTAAACATTTTCACTATACTTAAATGTTTTACATTTCTTGTTTCGAAAATAAAAACTCTAGCAGTCACATCTGTGCTTGCTTTTTTCCTTCTTCTTTATGATTGATTATTTAGAATACTTCAAATGATATAAGGAATGTTTAAAAAGTTTTCTTTTATAAGATTTTCTTCTTTCATTATCGGTTGTGTACATAAGTGTACGTTAACGTTAGTGTACATATGTATATATGAATTGTCCATCTTACTTCTATTTTTTATTTTTATTTTAAACTCTTATTTTTAATAATAATAAAGTAAACTATTTTTTTATAATACAAATTTAAATAAAAAACCCACACATAAATTTAAATATATAATTATTAACTTATTTAAAATTAAATTTATTGTCCTATTTGACATTGTTAATATAGAATATATTTTTAAATAGGTTGCCCAATAATAGTTTAAGTTAGACCTATAAAAATGTTTATGATAAGCAATAAATTAAATTTAAACATTAATTTTATAGAAAAAAACTCATCTGCATATTCAAAGTTTATCCTTGCCTATGCTCACCCTAATTATTATATAACATCGCTTTAATAAGTAATTCACTCATGTTAAATACAACAATTCTCGAGATATTTTTAAATTTAATGTGTAATGCTAGAGTTTTTTTTAAGGGATGAAAGACATGATGTAAAAAAAGGGAAAGAAAGACATAAATTTTCAATATTATCTAAATTTTTGTTATTCACATAATGGTATACAGAGAATGACATTTAAGATTATCAAATAAGAAGTCAATGACATGTTAGATATCCTCAATCAAGTACAATTATCTATGTAGTGATTAATCAAAGTTTAATAGTGTTTAATATAATCTAAGACTTTACTTGACAAACTGAATCACTTAGTGGTTAATTGAAGTTCAATAATATCTAATTTAACCTAAAATTTTACTTGTCGAACTAAAAAGTAAGAGAAATTATCTCTAATATAAAAACTCTCTTTGAATAAAATATGTTCATCAAAATATAATTTTAATAATAACAAAATATAAAATCCATGTTACCATAAACACAAATTCAAGTCAAATCTTAAACCATTTATAACAACCTATTAATATTAGAATCTGAATTACTTACGTAGGCATAAGAATTTCAGACAATTATTAGTATAGTAATTATTAGTTATTTATCCGTAAAAAGATCACGCAGACACTGGTGCGTAAAAGAAGAAAATCGGAGTAGTAAACCCTGGTTCCAATTCCAAGTTATAATTTTATTTTATTTTTATAATTTTGGCTGAAGCACTTGCTTTTAAACCACGTAGTGAACGCTCACTCATTCCAACTCGGGCGAGTCGCGTTAGTAGTGTCATTTCATTTGGTTTGTGTTCATGCCATTTCACTTTCCTTCTTCACTCTCATTAACACCACCAGGTTCTCTCTCTTCCTTCTTCTTTCACGTTAACGTCTTTGATGCTCTCAACTTTAACAACACGCACACACTTATTTATTATATTTATATATAGATATTAGATATTAACACCCTTTTATTTTTTTTTTGTTTTTTCTTCTTCCCCTGTGCTTCCCCATTCAGCCCTTAGCATTTGACTCTAAGGTTAACGAATGTTCATCTTTGGTTGATATCATCTTGTTCAATGTGTGTATAATAACATATACAAGATCGTGAAGAAAATGTTTATTTTTTTCTTTTGGGTCCTTAGTATTTCGATTAATTGTTAGTATTATGTGGTGGTAATGTGGGTGTACTCAATCTTGGTGTAAGTGAATGCACTTGTCTTGTATCTTCTATCTTCCTCGGTTTCACGTCTTGGTCGGTTTGATATGTTATGTATTTATCTGCCACCGCTTTGGTTATGAATTATGATATGAACTTGCATACGTGTGGATCTGAATGGGGTTGGTTTACTTCTTCTTGTTTGGTTATATTGTTTTCCTCAAAGGGTTTTTATTTTACTTTTTACCCCCTGAGGCTCAGACCAATCATTTACGGTATGGGTAATTGAATGGTGTAATTGTTTTGAATCTGTGTCCGCCACTGAAGAATGCTGGTTTTCGAGTGGTTGACGAATTTCACTTTGGTGGCTAGGTGTTTTGTGTGAGTGATTTAGGTTGGTATCCGTGTTGAGGATTTTGATGCTTTGTTGTATTAGAAATTGTTGTGGTTTCTGGCTCGTCTGTGTTCTGGTTTTCTTAAGTACAGAAAAAAGTTTGCTTTAGTTGATGGGTTTCTTTACGAATTACTGGCCAATCCCAAAATTTGATCTTGTTATTTGCACTCTAATCTTGTGTTCATGGATAATTGTTTGGTTTTTTAAAACAAAGATTTTGATAACTGTGGTTAGTGGCTGGTGAGTAACTCTGTACATTACTTTTAGACCTAGTTGCAGTTTGTAACCTATGTTTGAAGTTTGAAGAATGCTCCTTGAAATGATAATGTTTCCTAAGCTACATTTACCTTATAATGTTTCTTAAGCTTTGACATGAGCTTATAGTTATTGCATTTATTGGCCTGTTTCTCGGCAGATGGAGTCAATCCAGCAAAATTATAATGATGATTCCATGGAGAATTCATCTAATACTCCTCCAGGTTCGCCTGATATAAGTGACATAGTCGGAGCCCCACAGTTGAATCCTCGAGTTGGTGAAGAATACCAGGTGGAGGTCCCCTCCATGATAAAAGAATCAGAACGGCTTCGACATTTTATGAATCCTGCTGATTCAGAATTTATGCACCATAACTCACTTTCCTTTGCAATTGGTCTACCCATCTCAGTCACATGGATGCATAATGAAGTGGAGGATAGTGGACATGCTGGATATCTTGCAGACATTGATGGTACAGTATATGCAATTGAACATGAAAAGAAAGCTAGCTTAGAAAAGAACAATTTATCAGACAATGAGGATGAATTAAAACTAATTGTGTTTTGGTCTGTGATGACAGGAGACAAAAAATCAGGTCAAGTGGGGAAAAGCAAAAATTATGTATTGGTCCCTGGCACATTGAATAACTCCTGGAGTGAAGCTGATGCAAAAAGTTTCCTCCTTGGTTTGTTTATTTTTGGGAAAAATTTTATTAAGATAAAAAAATTCTTGGAAAACAAAGGGATGGGGGAAATAATGTCATTTTACTATGGAAAGTTTTACAAATCTGACGAATATCGTAGATGGTCAGACTGCAGGAAAATAAAAGGGAGAAAATGTATTGTAGGACAGAAACTTTTAACTGGACAGAGGCAACATGAACTATTGGCTCGCTTGATTCCCCATGTCTCAGAAGAATCTCGAGATACTTTGCTGCAGGTATCAACCGGGTCATCTCATTCCATTGTTTTTAATGAATTCTAGCAAGTATATTTCAATTGTCTGATGATTGGCTTAACCTGTATCACTGCATTCTAGGATTTCAATTTTTTATTTTATTTTAATGTTTTACCTCTCTGATATAGTCCTTTGTAAGTTGCAAATTTTATTTTTCCCCTGTAATTTTACATATATCCTCCTTTAAATTCTTTCTTGAAGTGCCATGATTTTTTCTAAGGCAGGGCAACAATAATTTGGTTCAATGGTAATCTGGTTTTTGTGGTGTGTTATATGTAATGATTGTCTGTCCATTTTTTATGGTTGTTTTTACCATGTAGAAGAATAGAAGATACCAATATCAAAGGATTCAATATCTTTCTGAAGTACTTAATTCATTCTGTTTATGAGCTTCAAACAATACTTTGATTGTTTCTCTTAGTACATTTGGTGTTGGAAAGTGAAAGCTTTACTATTTTCGAAGTATATTACTTCCTTACTATGAAACTTTTTAGAATAGATGCAATAGTAATTAAGGTGGAATAGATGATTGGATTATTAATATTAGGTCATTGTGATGTGGCAATGATTATTCGGACTTTGGTGGCTAATGATTATTTCAGTTGTTACAGTTGTATCATTTGTGAGCTTTAGTCTTACATTGGTTTTGACTATAAAATCAGGTTTCTCAGTTATATGTGGAAGGCAGAGCTTCTCTTGAAGAATACATTTTATCTATTAAGTCTACTGTTGGACTTGGTGTGCTTGTGGAAGCAGTAGGTATTGGAAAGGAAAAGGAAGACCTTACAAGCCTTGCTGTGGAACTTGGGAAGAACAATAGGGTGTTTCCAGCACCAACTTCTAAAGCTTGGTCTTCTCTTGGACCTAGTGATATAATAAAACATTTGACAGGAGGGTTTCGACTGAGCAAAGCCAAAAGTAATGATCTCTTTTGGGAAGCTGTTTGGCCCCGCTTACTGGCAAGAGGTTGGCACTCCGAGCAACCAAAGAATCAAGGCTATGTTCACTCCAAAGATTATCTGGTTTTTCTTATTCCTGGTGTTAAGAAGTTTTCAAGAAGAAAACTTGTGAAAGGTGATCATTACTTCGATTCTGTTAGTGATGTCTTGAGCAAAGTAGTAGCTGAACCTAATCTTCTTGAGCTTGAAGAAGAAACTAAAGTTGGTAGCTGCAATGATGAAGAGCCAGAAAAGGGATCAAATAAAGATGATCAATCTGATTATCATCGTCCATGTTACCTCAAGCCCCGAGCTTCCACTACAGATCAGATTAAATTCATGGTTATTGATACTAGTATGGTGAACAAAGGGAAGCCATCTGACTTAATGGAATTTAAATCTGTACCTGTTAAATCAGTGGGTAAAGTTGAGGTAAATGCTACTGATATTACATATAAAGGGGCCAACCATGTCAGGAAAGTAAACCGTAGCAAGGATGTGTCTGAAAACATTGATCATAAGTTGACTAAGTTCACAGTTATTGATACCAGTATGCTTCGTGAAGGAAAAATATTGAAGGTGAGAGAATTAAGATGTCTTCCAGTTGGATTAGAATATGCTTCTAAGATGACTATTCTCTCGAGAGAAAGTAAGGATAGCTCCTCTGATGAAGATTCACCAAGCATGGTAGAAGCTAATATGCAAACATGTGACAAAAAGAATGTTAGTAATGCTCTTATTAAAAAAGGCATATCTGACAGAGATGCTACCAACCAAAAAGAAGCATGCGATAAGCCAGATAATAATGCAAACAAGATGGAAGAAAGCCAGAAAAATCACAATACCTGTGTGTCTGAAGATAATCAACAAAAGAAAACCATAAAGCATCAATTCAGTCGGAGGGCAAGATCAGGTCATTGTAATCACACGGTTCTTCCCATTAAAAGGAGAAGATTGACTGCTTGTGCAAAGGCGGAGACAAGCCGTGTCATTGAGAATTCCTCAGGAAGCTTGGAATCTGAAAAATCAGCATTCTCAGAGTCATTGAGTTTCCCAGATTCCCACCAAAATGTCTGTGATCCAGTTAGTCATCAACCGAACAAAAGTTTAATCACTTCTCCATCTGATATAAGTGCTGAGGTGAATAATGAGGAAATCATTCTCAATGAAATTGGTCAATGCAAGAGCAATTCTTGTCTTAAAGTTGAGAAATGTGAGTCACAATCACTAGTCACCTTCAACATACCCCAGGTTCCATTGAAGTCCAAAGATGGCGAAACGATGGGGACAGTGGAGGAAGACAGGCAATGCCTAAAGGCAAATGATCCATGTTTGTCAACTGATACTCATGGGGTGGTTGAGAAGCCACAAAGATCCTCTTGTGATGTTGGTTCTGTGGAACAGAAGTCCAATACAAATCCTAGGAGACAGAGCACAAGAAATCGACCACTGACAGTTAAAGCATTGGAGTCTCTAGCAAATGAATTCTTGCACGTGCAGAGGAAACCAAAAAAGAAAGATATCCTGCCACATATAGATGCTTTCAGCCCTTGCCGCAGGGCTAGGACAAGAGGCAAAACAAATGTGCATCGTCGTAGTTCAGATCATGGGACTGCAGTTTTGGTAAAAGAAAAAAAGCATTTGAATGGAGATCGCAAAATGGACATTGTAGAGTTAGTGAAACATTTTCAAGCCACTAGATTAAATTAAACAGTGGAGTATACTATGCTAGGTAAGGTAACTTTGAAGGTCATCATGGATGGTTTGAAAGTAGTGATGTTTCTTCTGTCTCACATGCAATTTATGTTCTAAAGGTGTAATACTGTACAGAAATTTTCGATACTTTAGAGAATGTTGCTGAGACCAGTCTTGTTTTTTAAATGGAATAGGAAATCACTGTTTTTATTGTTTGTGTTCTTATCTCTTACAATGTTGAACACATCAACAGGTTTAAGGCTAAATGAAAAACAAGGAAATCATTTTAAGTTCTATATTACAATAAGTATGACATACTGTAAAATGTTTGATATTTCAGAAGTTGTGAATTTGTAACTTAGATGTAGCAGGGTATCAGTTGTAATATCTAAAGTATAACAAAAGGTGTAGAGTCGTAAACTATTTTATCATCATTGATTTTATCAGGTTTGGATGGATAAATTTCTCTGGAAGTATTTCTAAAAAAAATAGGAAAAAATTTGAAATAATTTTTTATATAAGTTAAGACTAACTTAAGTATAATTAAAAATAAGATTTTAGAGAACTAATTGTAGAGAACTTCTACAAGATAAATTATGTATAAATTAATTTCAATTTATGATGAAAATTTTTTTCTTACTATTTTTCCTTATCAGAAGTACTTTTGAAAAAATTTATTCAAATAAACCCTAAGAATCTTGGGAAACTTGGCTAGAAGTTTGCTATTTTAGTTGGGAGAACTCAAAGGTTTATAAAACTGCTAGTATCTTACAAAAAGCCCATGTTTTCCTTTGGGGCTGAAGCCCATACATAACAATTGGTCCAACATTTTATCATGCTTTCTAGTCCGCGCCACTACTCACAGCACTCCTTTGTAGCTATGAGACAAGGTGAGAAGCTCCTATAAGCTATAGCATTTGATAGAAAAGTAGAAAACCACTGAAGAGTGCTGAACTTTACACCAAAAGTCCAAACCCTTCTAAGAATAGTATTTGATATTTTTATATTAATTTAAATTAACATATGTAAATAAAAATATATTATATATTAATTTTAAATATATATAATTGAGTATCGTATAGTTTTTAAATTATGTAAAATAATTATAGACATGATATATTCATTAAGAACTTTTAATTTAACATTGAAATTCAATAGAAATTATTATATTATATAGTGGGTATCTATAAATATTAATATTATCATACATGCTTTTATTCAATTTATAAATGGGTAGGAAAAAAAACCCTTATCATTACTTATGGATATCTATTTATTATTCATTACAAATCTAACTCATAAGTCATAGACACTGTGAATATAGATTTTTTTTTTTCATTCTTAATGAAATGAATAAATTGAATTTAGTTCATTAATTACTTATTATTTTTTTTGTAATAGTTAGATTAGGTAAAATTATTGGTAAATGGATTGAATGGAGGATGGATGTATGGTTTTGAGACATGCTTAGAAGATTTACTTTACAAGTGGCATGTTGAATAATAAGTTGATAGCATAAGCTTCACTGGCAATTAAGAAAGTGATTACGCTACGTTATCGAAATGGCATGATGAGAAAATACAATGAACTGACCCTATTTGGTCAAAATGAAAAAATGATCTCTCTCTCTCTTTCTCTCTCGTATCTTAATCCTAATATACACATGCTTGTCCCTTTTTTTCTTGGTTGACAGAATAATTTGAATGCAAGGCCCAAAGGCAAAACAACAACATAAAGGCTAACGAGACCATAGCCCAAACAACACAACTGTACCTAACAAACATCACTATACTCACTTACTTGTGCTGGCAATTGCTTGGTTGGACGAGAATACACACTTTATTATATATGTTGTTCTTTTTGACAGATACCGGTTTCATTTTAAATAGACTGACTATTCAGAAGAGACGAGCACAGTTAAATAGATAGTGTTTGATTTTAATTTGATTCAACCCATTTAAACTCATTCATCCCCCAATTTTAGAATTGGTAGAATGAGTTGAATTAATCTAGTTACTTCTTCATCCAAACGAATTGGTTTAAGGTTCGTGATCCAACTCATCAACGCCACAATCTGACAAGTCTTTTGATCTTTTTTGTTGTGCTTCATGTTTTTGTAAACTTTTAAGAACCTACCGGTCCGACTTAAATATGCGATATTTATATATATAAAAAAAAAAGTCATTAGCACATGTGATTCTTATTTGTATTTTTTAACTAGGAATTGAGATTTTATCTTTGATTTAAATAAGGATTTACGACTGGATGTACTACACAATAAAATAAAATAAAAAATATGCGGATGTTTTTATTAATCATCTGTTTTTTTTTTATAAAAAAAATTGTATTCTCTAGTTCTAACAGACTATTATTTCTTTTCCAAGATAAAATTTTACATCTCTAGAAAACAAAGCACGGTTATTTTCATGAAATTGTGCTTAAGTTTTCTACATATCATCAATTCATATGTTAAATTGCCGGTGAATATTAAATTTCATGAAAACATTATATATATATATATATATATATATATATAAAAGGAATTCACTTATTCTAAGAATAAATTTATCTACTTATTACACTTAATAACTTATTTTATATTAAATTTTAACGATATAAACCGTTAAATTAAAAATTATTAATGCAAATATCAAATTTACAAATTTTAATAACTATTTGATATTTTGTTTTATTAATTCAATTTGACAGATAATCATAAAATATTTTATATATTGATTTGAATTAATGAAATGAATTATTAAATATTTTTTAATATTTTTTAAAATTTGTAGACTTAATCTATATATTAATAACTTTTAATTAAATGATTAGATTGTTATAATTTGATGTACAATCTTGAGTTATTGAGTTGAATAAATTTGTATAGATTTATTCTCAGAATAAGTAAATCACACACAAACACACATGATGAAATATCTCATACCTTGATTTAAATTAACGAAATAAAATATTAAATAATTTTCATTTTTTTTTAAATTTACAAGCTTGATCTATGTATTAATAATTTTCACACACATAATAAAGTTAGTCTTAGATGATTGATGGATAGAATGGCCAACCACAAAAAAAAAATTAATAAATATATGTGCACATTAAATAAATAACAAACTTCCTTCAAATTAAGAGTTAAAGAAAAAATAATAACAAAAATTATTAGAAAAAAATATGATGTTTCATCTATTTTAAAAAAAAATATAATTTAATAAAGAAAATATATGCTTGAGGATAATTATTTTTATTAAAAATAATTAAGAAGATTTATAAATTAGAATAAATTATAAATAATGAATTGTTAGCATTTTATAGTGGTTGAAACTGAAAAATAAAGAGTAAAAAAACAAATAATATTATTTAAATTACAAGCATGATTGATTCTTTTTATAGCATCCTTGAGAATGAAAACTATTACTCTCTACTATATATATTCTCCAACTCTCATATAAAATGTGACTTTCACTAATGGTTATATACATTCCTTATATACGGGAACATATTTAGTGAAAGTCATTTTTTTTTAAAAGTGAAATAAGTAAATTTGAACAATACTATCGTATATAGGTGATCAAATTTAATGTCATGTGACTAATTGAAAATATCATGCATTTTTTTAAAAAAAAATCACATAATTCGTGTATTTTAATGTTAACCATTCATGATTAGTTTTATTGGTGAATATTTATTTATTTCACTGTCACGTAAAAATAGGCAATCTCATTAAATGTGTATAAACACCCACGAAAGAAAAACTTTAGAAAGGAATTCACTTATTCTAAGAATAAATTTATCTACTTATTACACTTAATAACTTATTTTATATTAAATTTTAACGATATAAACCGTTAAATTAAAAATTATTAATGCAAATATCAAATTTACAAATTTTAATAACTATTTGATATTTTGTTTTATTAATTCAATTTGACAGATAATCATAAAATATTTTATATATTGATTTGAATTAATGAAATGAATTATTAAATATTTTTTAATATTTTTTAAAATTTGTAGACTTAATCTATATATTAATAACTTTTAATTAAATGATTAGATTGTTATAATTTGATGTACAATCTTGAGTTATTGAGTTGAATAAATTTGTATAGATTTATTCTCAGAATAAGTAAATCACACACAAACACACATGATGAAATATCTCATACCTTGATTTAAATTAACGAAATAAAATATTAAATAATTTTCATTTTTTTTTAAATTTACAAGCTTGATCTATGTATTAATAATTTTCACACACATAATAAAGTTAGTCTTAGATGATTGATGGATAGAATGGCCAACCACAAAAAAAAAATTAATAAATATATGTGCACATTAAATAAATAACAAACTTCCTTCAAATTAAGAGTTAAAGAAAAAATAATAACAAAAATTATTAGAAAAAAATATGATGTTTCATCTATTTTAAAAAAAAATATAATTTAATAAAGAAAATATATGCTTGAGGATAATTATTTTTATTAAAAATAATTAAGAAGATTTATAAATTAGAATAAATTATAAATAATGAATTGTTAGCATTTTATAGTGGTTGAAACTGAAAAATAAAGAGTAAAAAAACAAATAATATTATTTAAATTACAAGCATGATTGATTCTTTTTATAGCATCCTTGAGAATGAAAACTATTACTCTCTACTATATATATTCTCCAACTCTCATATAAAATGTGACTTTCACTAATGGTTATATACATTCCTTATATACGGGAACATATTTAGTGAAAGTCATTTTTTTTTAAAAGTGAAATAAGTAAATTTGAACAATACTATCGTATATAGGTGATCAAATTTAATGTCATGTGACTAATTGAAAATATCATGCATTTTTTTAAAAAAAAATCACATAATTCGTGTATTTTAATGTTAACCATTCATGATTAGTTTTATTGGTGAATATTTATTTATTTCACTGTCACGTAAAAATAGGCAATCTCATTAAATGTGTATAAACACCCACGAAAGAAAAACTTTAGAATTTTATTTTACATTATATTGATGTAGTGGATAATATTAAATTTATCAACAATTTAAAGTATTTTTCATTAAAATTTAGTTAATAGCCTAATTAATATTCATAATTTTTTTTTAAAGATTGGGGCAAACTCTAATTTCGACAAAGGGAGAATAGAGTTTAAATATTTTAGCATTATTTCTTCCAAAATTGAACATGAAT